TAAAGTTTAGGGTTGCGACCTCTCACCCAGACTCAAGGCTGGGGTGAAGTTCACCGTGAGGAGCAGGAGGCTCAGTGGTTGGGTCAGTCCCTGGCCCCTCCATTCACTAGCTGCAGGGTGGGCAGGTCAGCTAGCCTCTGTGCTCTGAGAAGTGGAGATGATGCCTTGTCACCAGGTTAAGTGACTGACAGCTGGCAGAAAACAGGCCTCACACCGTTATAAGTGGTGACAGGTGAGGGGAGGGGTGTTCTCATTACCTCATGGTCCATGCAGAGCCTCCATGGAAACCCTGCTCTCAGACAGTGAATCACAAGGAGCCACATGCTCCCGAAGGCTTTTCCATCTGGGGCTCACGCAGTCTTTGGTATGTGCGAAACAGTGATAAACACACACATCTTCATGGTATGTTATGTGGAGGGACCATCCACCTAGATCCTCTAAAGCAGTGGTTCTCCACCTTCCTAATGCCTCGGCCCTTTAACACAGCTCCTCATGTTGCGGTGACCCCCAACCATAAAATTGTCTTCGTTGCTACTTCATAACTGTAATGTAAATATCTGAGTTTTCCTATGGTCTTAGGCGACCCTGATTCGCTAGCAGGGTCGCCTAAGACCATCGGAAAACAGAGATATTTACATTATGATTCATAACAGTAGCAACATTACAGTTATGAAGTAGCAACGAAAATAATTTTATGGCCAAGACCCTTTTGGCTCAGTGGATAGAGGGTCTGCCTGCGGACTGAAAGGTCCCGGGTTTGATTCCAGTCAAGGGCATGTACCTTGGTTGCGGGCACGTCCCCAGTAGGAGATATGCAAGAGGCAGCTGATCGATGTTTCTCTCTCATCGATGTTTCTAACTCTCTGTCCCTCTCTCTTCCTCTCTGTAAAAAATCAATAAAATATATTTAAAAAGAAAATAATTTTATGGTTGGGGGTCACCACAACATGAGGAGCTGTATTGAAAGGTCCCAGCGTTAGAAGGTTGACAACCACTGCTCTAAAGTCCTTCCTAAGTCCTCTGATCTCTTACCTCCCTTGAGCCATGTATGCAGCCCTGAAGACTCCTATCTGGCTGGAGACCTGCCCCTTTTTCAGCCAACGGGCAGTGTTCAACCAGGGACACAGAAACCGCAGATGGGTCAAAGGCAGCTGCAAATTCACCTTCTCTCAATCCCAGTGTCCACCTGCGATGATCTCACAGGTGCCACCTACAGTGCTTCAAGATGTAGTCTTCTGACAATAGCTTCGGGCACTCGTTACCCCTCCCTGCCCACCAGTGAAATTGCTCAACTAGCACATCAGTCAGTGCTGATGAACAACTAAACGCCTATAACAAGGTCAATGTCCCTCACGGCCTGCTAACAAAGCCTCAGGTCAGGAGCCATGGAGACGGGGAGGGCATTTGGCAGCCTGTGGATTTTGGGAAAGGTCTGAGGGCATCATCAATCATTAACGTGTGAACTACAATTTGAGGTTCAAGTGCTGGCTCAGGGTTCTGTGCTGTGGTCCCCAGAATCTTGCAACAGCAGCTATCTGTGATCATGTTCTACATTTGATTTCCTCCGAGCAATTACTGGTTCTGGCCAGAGAGCCAGTTTCTCTCTCTCTAACCACTTTAAAGCAAAAGAAAATATTGTGTTGGAGCCTGTCCAGGGCCACACCTTAAAATTGCTCTGAAAATGAGAGCTGATTTCTGTAGGGACGATTTAAGAGATGTTGGCTGTTGATTTTGCTGCTGAGTCATAGGGCTGGGATCTTGGTGTTAAGCAGTCTGAAACGTCAGTTTATTGCTGGTGAAATCACAAACTCTGCTTGCAAAATTCATCTGGTGCTTTAGGAAACATTTTACAATTTCCTTGTGTTTTTTATTTTTTATTTTATTTTTTTAAACGTTTATGTTTTTTATTTATTTTTAAATATATTATTTTATTGATTTTGTACAGAGAGGAAGAGAGATAGTTAGAAACATCGATGAGAGAGAGTCTTCTATCAGCTGCCTCTTGCACACCCTCTACTGGGGATATGCCCGCAACCAAGGTACATGCCCTTGAACAGAATAGAACCCAGGACCCTTCAGTCCCCAAGCCGACGCTCTATCCATTGAGCCAAACCGGTCTCGGCTCCTTGTGTTTTGTTTTTTGTTTCGTTTCTTTTGCTTAATTTAATCCTAAAGGTCTTGCTTATTAGTGGAAAATACCGTGCATTCATCTTTACTGGATGTCTTGGAACCTCAGCCAGTAGCATCGGGAGATTTTTTTTTTTTTTTTAATGCTAAGAATTCAGGAAGAAAGGCAGTTTTTGCTGCTGACCAGAATAAATAATTAAATCCAAATACATATTTGAATGTCTCTATGCAAGGCAATTGGAAAAATATGGATATAGTCCCCAGGCCAGCGGCGGGGAGCCCAGCGCACAAGCGCCGGCGGGGGCACCAGGGCCCGGAGAGGGGGCGGGAGGACGCGGCTCCGAGGCCCGGGGCCCACCGCGTCTCTGGGCCACGGGGTCTCCGACGCCCCCCTGCGGGGGGGGCGGGGGAGCGGCGGAGAGAGAGGCGGGCCGCGAAGGTCGTCATCAAGGTCGAAGGCCCGACGTGCGGCGCCGGCGGGACGCTGCGTGCGTGCGGGACTCGGAGTACGTGCCGGATCCCGGGAGCCTCATGCCGGCCGGCACCACGCCCCTCCGCTGGGGTGTCCGCGCCCGGGTCCGGGGGTCCCCACGGGGGGCGGGAGTAAAGTGGGGCGGGGCCTCGCTGCACCCCTCACCCCCCCGGCCGCCGGGGAGCCAAGGCCCCCCCCAGCCCTGCAGCGCCCCCTCCCCTCGCGGGTCGCCTCTCCCCCTCCCCCCGTAGCCCCAGGGGCCTGAGGCGCCCCCGTTTCCCGGAGGGGAGGGTCCGAGTGACAGCGCTCCGGGCCAATGGCGAGGCGCGGCGGCGCGGAAGGGGCGGGGCGTGGGCGGGGCCTCGGGCGCCGGGCGGGAAGTCCCGGCCCGCGGCGCAGGGACGGGCTCAGTGCTCGCAGCGCCGCACGTTGTGACTGAGCTCCCTCCTCCTCGGCGACGTCCGCGGCCAGGTGAGGCCTGCCCAGGGCCGCCAGCGGGGTCCTCGGGGGCTCCGGTCCTTCCGACGCGGGGCCGGGGGATCGGCGAGGCGGGGCGGGGCGGCTCGGGGCGGGGGCGCGGCGCCGGCGACCCGGAGGGAGCGCCCTGTGGTCGGGGCGGGACGAGGCCGCCAAACTGAGGTGGAGAGGCGGGCGCTCAGCCGCTCGGGCCCGGGCGCTGGGAGCGGGAGATTTGGGGCGACGCAGGCCTGGCCCTGGTGCGGGTTCGAGCCGAGCCTTCCTCAAACGGAGCGAGGCCGGAGCGGGGGAGGCGGGCGCGGGCAGCGGCGGGGCCCTGTCCCCTCCCTCCCTCCCTCCCTCCCTCCCTCCCTCCGCCGCCGCCGGCGCCGCGCCCGCAGTTGGCGGCCGGGCGTCCATCCCCGCGGCTCCGGGATGAGCGGCGCCTGATGTGACCCCAGAAGGGCTCGCCCTGGGGCGGCCGCAGAGCCGTTGGGGAGCGGGAGGCCCTCCGGCCTGATGCCCCGCCGCCCGGCCGGAGGGTGTGGTTTGGGGAAGCCGCCGGCCCGCTGCTCCCTCCGCTCCGCGGCCTCCGCTGCGGCCGGCGAGGGCGGCGGGGGCGGCGGGTTGAGCCGCCCCCGGGGCACATGGAGGCCGCGGCCACGCGGTCCGCTGCCCGGGGTCCGGGTCCCGGAGATGGAAAGCTGCGGGGACCCCTGCTGAGACCCATTTCCTTCCTGCCTGTGCTCCCCGAACCGGAACGCCTTCCCCACAGCATTTAAGCACGGATTTTATTTTCACGTCGTGAAATGAGTCGGTTCCTTTGTCTCCTGCCCCTAAAATGAAGCGGAAAAAATGAGCTCTCGCCCCCGGGTGCGGAGGCGAGGTGAAGATGTGCTTAAAAGTGCATCCAGACTAAAACCCGCCCATAAACTAGTTGCCTTTCTGTACGTGAGATAAAGAACCAGATTCCTTTCCTCCCGCTCATAAGTAAAGCCCCATTGTTACACAGCAGCGACTGAGGATCTAATTTTGAAACTTTAAAGAAAAAAGATGCCCTTTGCTGTTTCAGAGAACATTCCAGAGAGGGTAACGGAGGGCGCCGGCTCCATGATGGCTCCTGTGCCCACACCAGCCTCTTCCTTGGAGAGTCCGCGGGACAAGCCCGCGGTTTGCTCTTCATAGCTGTCACGTTGATGAATTTTTAAGGAGGCCCCTCCCTTGGAGTTCGCTGGTGTTCAAAGATGGAATCTTCCCTCTACTTAGAAATCATAACAGCTCATAATTACTTTTTAAATGGGGTAAAATGCCCTTGGAAAGCAATGCTAATTGGGTGTCATTATTGACGTGCCCTTATCTTGCTAAAGACCCAAGTCCTGTGAGTTTTGGAAGCCCAGAGGCTGGAGGACAAAGGTCACAGTGCAGAGGCCACGAGGCTCCCTGGTTATCTAATACCCACCAGTGGAACGGCCTGCCTCTGCCTCCAGATTTCATTAATGAAATCTGGGCCAGGCTTCAAATCCAGTATTTCACTACAAATCACATTTTCCTCCTGTCTCCACCCTCCCTTTCGTCCTAAATGGCTTTGCCTGTGACCTTCATGTCCCCTTGTTGCCTTTCCATGGGCAGTGCCAGCCCTCATTGCTCCAGAGTGGCAGTAGTCAGTCTCCAGCTGCCCCCTCTTCACCATTCCCCCTCAACACGTGAATCTCCTGGCTTTGCTTTTCCCCCCCACCTCTTCAGCTTCCTTTGCTCACGGGGCAAGGCCTGAGCAATTCCCACTGCTTCCCGCAGGCTTTCCCCTCCCAGTTTCTGGCGGTCTGAATGCATCCCCATAGTCCAGGGCAGGTTCCTTCTGGTCTAGGAATCCTCAGAAGTGACCTTGAGTGAATGGTCCAGAGGCTGCATTGTGGCTCACCGTGTGCACTCTTCCACAGAATTCACCATGTCTATCCTGAAGGTGCACGCCAGAGAGATCTTCGACTCCCGCGGGAACCCCACTGTTGAGGTGGATCTGTACACCGCAAAGGGTATGTGCCACCGTTTCTCTGCTTCCTTCCGCCACCCTCCGTTTTTGAAAACTTCCTTAAAGTGACAGGGTCTGAGGCAGGAAACAGTCTCTTGCTGAGATAATGCCTTTCTTGCCGCACATGCTGGGGGTGTGACTCCTGGCTGGGGATGGGGGGTTGTAAGGGAGGGGCCCTGGTCTTGCTGTGACCCTTGACCCTAAGTAGGCCCATCAGTAGTTTGCTTCCAGGCTTGATGTGACCAAATAAGCAAATGGGAATAGACTGTCAACTTGTTTCCAGAAATCACTGTAACCAGGGATCGGGAAATGTTTTTGGGGTGTTGGGCTGTTCCAAAGGCCCTTATTTACCCCTAGGAAGAGTTTGCTCACATGAAAAAATAGGATGGGGACTCTTAAAAGCTCCTCTGTAGCCAGCCTGTTACCTCCACCTATGTCAGCTAGCTTCTGTGTGGGCATGTGGGGAGGATAGAAGAGGAGGTTGGGCAGAACCGCTCAGTGTGCTGAGCACGTGAACACCTGCCAGTCAGAGCTGAGTCACCCGTGACTCACAGGCCTGCCGAGGAGCCTCGGCCCTGCCCTTCCTGCCTCCTCTCGCCTTGTCCACGGAAAGAAGCCCTGAGTCCCCATGTCATTGGATAAAGTCCGCCTGTGTTCTGCCTGTTACCCACTGGGAGGCGCTCTCAGAGAGGGGGTCCCTCTGAGCTGGGGCTTTGGGGGCTCCCAGGATTTCCTTGGATCTGACGGGGTTGGCTTGCTTAGTCAGCCAGTGGAACTTTCCATTTGGAAATTAATGGGCTTGAAAAAAAAACAACATAAAAAGATCCAAGCCACTAAAAGAATGTTGGGAGTGGGGCCATATTCTATTAAAAATCTTTAAAATTTAAGTAAATGGAACTTTCCCTCTTGTGTGTTGTAACCCTTTTCAGATAAAACAGGAAGTAGTAGATTTGTTAGCTTTTCATCACTTCTTCCTTCCTTAGAATGTGTTTTTTAGAGCAGTCTTACGTTTATAGCAGAATTGAGCGGAAGGTATAGCGTTCCCATGTAGCCAACCAACTGCCCCCACCCGAGTGGTTCATGTTCCAGTCAAACCTGCCCTGACACTTGTCACCCCAAGTCCCTGGATCACATTAGGGCCACTCCTGCTTTTGGCCCTTCACCTGGTCCAGTACTTCATGGACAGAGGAGCCGGGCCCGTGTCGAGAACATGTGTGTCCTGCTCGCACGGTCATGGCAGCGACCAGCATACGAATAGACCATTTGATTACAGTTCCCAGCTGATTTTTTTCTTTGTTCATTCGCCTTCACATCCCCACACACCCACCAGTTCTTCGCAGACCTCCCCTGGGGCAATGCCTTACATTTTCAAGAAGGTTGAGGAGGCTGCCTGCCCGTTGGTCAGATCTCAGGACCGACCTTGACACTGTCTGTCCCAGGCTGTGCATTTTCCACTCCACAGTGCAGGCTTGGCTGGCTGGCTGGTTGCTGTATGTGCAGACAGTGGTTCCGGCTTGATTGTGTTCTGGTGTTAAACTCTGCACTTTGTTATCTGGGTGGTTCTTCCCCGGTCTCTCCTGCTTCCTGGTTTCCCGTTCTGCAGAGAACCCCAAGTAGCGCTACCGCTGCTGGAGCTGGAACGGCCAGGCCATAGGCTTCCTCTGAAGCCAGTACTTCTAAGACTTGAAAGCTGGCCAGAACTCAAGGTTGTCCCAGGGTGACTTAGCAACAGGCCCGGAGCCGGACTGGCTGAAATACCTCGTAATGTCGCTGTTGATTATGAGTTGAAATGATACATCGGAGACATTGGGCTAAATAAGATACGTTAAATTTACTCCCTGTTTTTAATTTTCAACTTTAACACAGCTGCTAGAAAATCCTAAATTCCTTAAGTGGCTCATGTGTTCTATTGGGCAGTGCTGCTGGCGTGGCTCTCGGACCAGCTGTGGGCACCAGCCATGCGAGCTCCTTAAAGACCCAGACTCGCGGCGCTGCGGGTGGCAGTCTGCATTGCTACAAGGTCCCCAGGGAATACGTGTGCACGTTGCAGTGGGAGAATCTCTGCTCTGGACCGTTTTTCTTAGCCTGGAGAAATTCATCTGCTTTGCTGTAGGCTCTGCATTGCAGAATCATGCAGACTGCAAGGCAGGAAGACAGTCTGAGTCTCCCAGCTCGGGGAAGGAAGTAACGGTGTTTCCTAATGACCCAGTCATCTGTGGCGGGGGCCTGGGTGCGGGCTGTAACTTAGCCATCACTGTCTTATTCCCTCTCGCTCCCCACCCAGGTCTCTTCAGAGCTGCTGTGCCCAGTGGTGCCTCAACTGGTATCTACGAGGCTCTAGAGCTTCGGGACAATGACAAGACGCGCTATCTGGGAAAGGGTAAGAGTCTGCACGACAACCTGCCTCTAGCGTGGCTGCTCCTAGCCTTCTATTTTAGAGAGAGGAGAGGTGGGGGTGGAGAAACGTCAGTCAATTGCCTCCCATATACACACTGACTGGGCATGGAACCTGTGACTCTCTAGTGCATAGGCTGACTCTCCAACCCTGAGCAGCATTGGCCAGGCTGGGACACGCCTTACGATGCTATTTCTATTGTGGCTTGTCTCCAGTCTGTAAAACTCCTGGGTAGGCCAGGGAACCTCTGGATAAGAAGACATGTTCATTAACTTAACAAAGCCTTGCCCGTCTCCCTGGCGGGCTCTCAGGGTCTCCCAGACCATCCGCCCTCTGCAGGGTCTGGGAAGGAAGTATCTGGAAGGTCTGGCTAACGGTGGCTGCAGGTCAGTGTGCAGCTTGATCTTTGTTGACTGGTCCACAGCATCACTCGGCAGGGCTGGCCTGGGGGCTGTTCGCCGCTCTGTGGATAGAACCAAATGGGAGGGCGCTCACCACAGGGGGCGGAAATTGGTTCTTCCAGAGAGAGGATCTTATAGAGACAAAATAAAATCTACATTAGCCATCTGAAAGTCTAGGAGGCTGCAGGGGTGGGGGCCTGGCCGTGGCGCTGTCGGCAGGCAGTGTTCTCAGCCTGCCCTGTGATCCGCAAAAGGCCCTCCCCCGGTTACCGTGGCTCGGGGCCCAGATGAGAACTGATCTGAACCAGACAGGGCTGTGCCTTGATTGTAATGAGGGTGAGCTCAGTCCCTGCAGCATTCTCCGCCTTCTGTTTCCTCTTTCCCTCACTGCCCTTCACCGCCTTTCTCTTCTGTTCTTTTCTCCTCTGTCCATCTCCACTGGTCAGGTGTTTCCAGACCCGTTAAATATGTTAATGAGTTCCTGGCGCCTGCCCTGTGCACGCAGGTAACGCATCGCACGCCCTTGGGTTTGGCAGCTGGTGTTTCCAGTGCATGGTCTTGCCAACTAACCGCCCCCCGGACACTGCGGTGTCTGCTCTGTGTGCGGCTCTAACCCCGGGTCCGAGGGGAGAGCGCTGAGCCTGGGCCGGAAAGGCCTTTGATTTCTCTGGAGAGAGAGATGGGATTTGAAGGAGGTGCCGTCAGAGGTCTCTGGTGGGCTTCGGACTAGCTGGGTTCGCAGCGCAGTTCTCAGCCATCTGCTCAAGCCTCTTCATTAATGTCAGTAATTTGATGTGATTGCTCCTTCTAGGTGTCTCCAAGGCTGTTGAGCACATCAATAAAACTATTGCGCCTGCCCTGGTTAGCAAGGTAGGCCTGCCTCCGTAACCATTGACTGAATGCCATCAGAGCTCTCCCGGCCGCGGCTCCCGTAACCGAGGAGCATTCTGAGCTCGAAGAAGCCGGTCGGACTCCCTGTCAGCAGGAGAATAGCTGCCTTTTTATCAGTCCCTGCGTGTCCACTCTAACAGTGCATGGAATGGGGGGCGGGGGGCCCTGGCTTACAGCCCTGACTTCCCTCCAACTACCTTGCCCTTTGGGGAGTTAACATCCAGGAGTGTTGGGTGTGGGGTCCATGGTGACTGACTCATTTTTCATGAGCTGTGGGATTTTTTATTGTATTCTTACTGACTTAACAGTTGACTCTTGTTCAGTCTTGGGACCTCAGTACGTAAACGTGTTGAAAGTAGAGCTGCTGGTGGAAAGCAGGGCTGGGACCCAAACGCCTGACCACCTCCTCAGCGGGTTGGTTCTCCCTCCAGAGCCTGGACCCTCGCTCGGGGATGGTTTGGAGCCCCTGGCTGGAGAACCCGCGCCAAACCCTCCACAGCCACCTGGTCTGGTCCCGGGTGTGGCGCTGCCCCTTCCGAATCAGCCTGTGTGCTGGGGGCTGATGATGGCCTGGCCCTCATGGCACTCTGTAATTGGTCCTGTTTCTCGTTACTGCCGAGGCGGCGAACAGCCTGCTCTTTGTGCCTTTACCTGGCATGACTGGCAGTGAGTGGCCTCTCCTGGGCAGCTTTCCCTCCGGGAGGGCATACATCAGGCTACCTCGTGGTGAGGGTTGGTCCCTGGAGCCAGCTGCTTGAGTCACTACTGACTCTCATCAAAAAGCAAAAGATGTCAAATTGTTAACATGGCGTGATGGAGTTACATGCAGTTTATAGTAGAGCTTTCTAGAAGGAACTATAAATAAAATGATACATTGTGATTCAGTTAAAGTAATTTTTATTAGAAATTGACATGGAGCCAGTTTTCAGATACCAGTTTCATTACTTTATAATCTCACCAGAAGTATGCACCCTGATCCTTGATCAGCTGCTGCATTTCGCCGTTGTGGCGAGTTGCTTTGAGGCACCCTGAGGGGGAACTGCCTTTGAATGGCTCAGCTTAGCTGTTTGAACAGCGAGTTGCTCACTATTGCCTGGAAAGTCACACTGCGTGTGGTAATCGCACCTCACTTGTTGACTCTGTCGTGTGAAGTGTGACTCTGGATTCCCCGAGCAGAACAACCTGTCCCACAAGGACCAGACCATAGGTATTTCTGTGTGGCTCCTCGGTGCTTGGAGAAATGCCTGGTGATATTAAAGCAAACGAAAGGCAGTTCAGTGTCCCGATTTCTCTGCAATGACAGGAAGTTTGTGCGGCTCCCCTTTGGCCTGCCAAACAAATACATAACAACTGATGTGGGCTTCGCACAGTCCACTCACATCGCTCCCACGAGGGTGCAAAGCTGTGCCCGTAGGGTGACCTCGCTTCCTCTCCCCGCAGAAGCTGAACGTCGTGGAGCAGGAGAAGATCGACAAGCTGATGATAGAGATGGACGGGACGGAGAATAAATGTGAGTGTCCAAGGGAGGGCGTGCAGGCCTTTGGGGAGAGGTTAGGTCACATGGTCCCTAGCGGTGAACACAGCATCTGTGGTCCCTCCGAAGTCCCTGCCTTGCCCTAGTCAGTCACAGCTTCAAGTGTCAGGAGCATAACCAGGTGACAGCAGCTTGTCTGAGCGTTTCTCATGGAGGAGTCCTTTCTACGCAGGTCTATACATCAAAGGGGCTTTCTCTCAGGGGAAGAGGCAGGCGAGGCCTCCTGGGATGCAGTTTGCATTTCTAACTTGAACTTGGGGAGGAACTAAGATGAGAGGAAAAGATTCAGGATCAACTCAAGGTGCACTCCCAGGCAGAAACTTAGTGAGTGAGAATCCCTCAATTTAACTCTGTTCTGTTCCAGCTAAATTCGGTGCCAACGCCATTCTGGGAGTGTCCCTGGCAGTCTGCAAGGCTGGGGCTGTTGAGAAGGGGGTGCCCCTGTACCGCCACATTGCTGACCTTGCTGGCAACTCCGAGGTCATCCTGCCCGTTCCGGTGAGTGGCTTCTTTGGGAGTTGAGAGTGTTGGCTTTCTTGTGGGACCTAAGACCACCACATCATGAACTTGTCCACCTGTGACTCCGAACATGGTGGGGCGAGCAGGCACTGGCATTGTCAGCAGCAGGCAACCCTCTGCCGCTTGCAAAGCGTGAACTTGAGCCAGTGACTCAGTTTCCCTGTCCCCAAGTCTTTTATATTGACTAGAGGCCCGATGCATGAAATTCCTGCAAGGGGCTTGGCCCTCACAGCCCCGGCTTCATCCAGGCAACCTTCCGGACGGACATTCTGCTGTTCAGTCTAATTAGCACATTAGCTCTTTATCAGGATTATATGGTGTAGGGGGTAAAAATCGCACTTGCTGCGCTGTGAGCATTCTCTGAGGAATAGCGGTGCTAGAGGGGTGAGCACCTCTGATGGTGCCCATTGGGGTTACCAGGGTGACCGGGGAGTGGTCGGAGACACGTGGCCGCGCAGTTAGATACGGGTGATGTGACGTTGAGCAGCTTCTCCGGACTGAGCTGTCCTCTCTGCCTCCCAGGCTTTGAACGTCATCAATGGGGGTTCTCACGCCGGCAACAAGCTGGCCATGCAGGAGTTCATGATCCTCCCCGTTGGCGCCGCCAACTTCCGGGACGCCATGCGCATCGGGGCCGAGGTCTACCACAACCTGAAGAACGTCATCAAGGAGAAGTACGGGAAAGACGCCACCAACGTGGGGGATGAAGGTGGCTTTGCTCCCAACATCCTGGAGAATAAGGAAGGTGAGGCTCTGGAGGGCCCATCTCACTGCCCCGTCTTGGCCACCCACCCCACCGGCCGGTCTTCCACACCTGCCACCAGGGAGCGGCTCCCGCCTGCCATTGGCGAGCATCAGAGTGCAAAACTGCAGAGTTTGGGGAGGGATGTGGGAACTAGCACTTCATTAAAAAAAAAATAGGAACTTTCTTATTAGTTGGACTTCTGAGTAGCCTGTGGTTTGTTTAAATTGGGCTCGTGGGGTAGAGAGCAGTTGATTCTCTTGCTCTGTCTGGCAGTGGCAAGAATTTAAAACCCCGGGATGCTCACAAGCCGTCTCCCTGAATCCTTAGGCACAGAATTTCGTGAGAATTGAGTGGAGGGTGCAGGGAGTCTTAGCACAAGAGGTCACACTGAGTGTTTTGGGAAGGAAAGGGGGGCTTGCACTTCTTTGGTCACTTTTAAGGGCACCTGGTGAGAGACCGTGCACCTGCTCTTTGGTCGGCCCTGGAGAGTTTGGTCAGCCCTGGAGACTTGACGTAAGATGGCCTTTCCGTGGCCTAACCAAACCATCTGCTGGGGGTGTTTGCTGTGGAACAGAGGCCACATGTGTTTGTCAGTTTCCCTACGGGTGCTGCTGCCACGTGAGGCAGAGCCTGGGCCCGTACCCAGCCTCCCTCTGGGTCCCAGCCTTGCTCCGTTAAAGCCCGGGCCCTAGGACGGCTGGGCTCGCTGTCACTGTACCGTGGCCAGCACGGCGTTCCTGGCGCTAAGCTCGGGAGCAGCTGTCAGTAAGCACCTCTTTTCTGCGTTGGGATTGGATTTCCACTCGGGGGTGCACTAGGGTGCTGACCACAGCAGAAAAAGGAAACTGGGATCCTTAAACTCTGGTTTTCCAGAGCCCCTCTCTGTGACGGCTCCATTGGCAGCTGGGACAGAAAACTTGAGCTCTGGTTTCCAACCTGTGGCCGCCGTCTCTCCCCAGCCCTGGAGCTGCTGAAGAACGCCATCGGGAAAGCCGGCTACACCGACAAGGTGGTCATCGGCATGGACGTGGCTGCCTCCGAGTTCTTCAAGTCTGGGAAGTACGACCTGGACTTCAAGTCGCCCGACGACCCCAACCGGTACATCACCCATGACGAGCTGGCCAACCTGTACAAGTCCTTCATCAAGGACTACCCACGTGAGTGCTCCCGAGCTGTCCCTCCCCCGCCGCTGCCAAAGCCTGGGTGCCAGCACTAGTGAGAGCGGGTGGGTGCCGTTCCGACAGCAAAGCACAGAGGCCTCGCGGGTGCCTGGGGCAGCAGCGGACTCGATGGCTCTAAGGCCGGCTGTTTGCACTGTCCCAGCAGCCTCCTGAGCAAACACTGTCACACCTGTGCGGGGAGAGCGTGGTGGGCAGGCTGGGCCCTGTGCTCACCTAGCACGTTAAGTGCCAATTGGTCTCCGATGACTGACACTGAATTTCCCGTCCGGAAGACAAAACGGGCAGGCGCTTAACGTGTTAGTCCACGGGGCATGCAGGGCTCTCCAGACCGTTTTATGAGAGGAACTGAATCAGTACGTTGCCCAGGGGCACTCAGCGAATGGTAAGGTGAGATTTCAGACCAGAAAGGCTGCCGCTAAGTTCCTGCAGGTAACCCCCTGTGGGTAACCATGGAGCTAGGTAACCTGGTCAGGGCAGAGCCTGGGTGCAACCACCAAGTGCCCGATCACATAGTAACAGCAGGTCCCAGGGCGGCCTTTCCAGGAGCGTGTGGGGGGGCAACGTTCTCAAATGAGCCGCAGCCCTTCCTGCCCTGCAGGGGAAGGGGAGGGGGAGGCTGGGCCGCGGGCTGGGGGCTCACTGATGGGCGGCCCTCTCTCCTCAGTGGTGTCAATCGAAGACCCCTTCGACCAGGACGACTGGGAAGCGTGGCGCAAGTTCACGGCCAGCACAGAGATCCAGGTGGTGGGGGATGACCTCACAGTGACCAACCCAAAGCGGATCGCCAAGGCCGTGAGCGAGAAGTCGTGCAACTGCCTCCTGCTCAAAGTGAACCAGATCGGCTCCGTGACCGAGTCTATCCAGGCGTGAGTGCCCCGGAGCCGCCGCCCGCGCTTCTGAGAGCTCCGCCTGGAGCTGTACGGGGTTTCACATTTGAACTTGGAGGGGCTTGTGAAGAAAGCATTGTCACCAAGGGGACGAGGGCATTAGGCAGTTGTAGCCTAATCCTGATCCACTACACGACCCCAGCCTTGTAATTTCATTTCACCCGAGAACAGCGGGAAGACGAGTCTCGCTCCCCTCAGGAAGGCTGCACCCGGTTTTCCAGTGTGACTAGGGGGCTGATGAGGTCCGGGGTCGCGTGAGTGCAGAGGGCGAGGGCCATCATCTCCCCAGGCCGCCTGCTCCTGGGCCCTGACCCCTCTGGTGTCCTGCCAGGGGCTCTGGTGGAAATGGAGTCAGCGGCATCTGGGTTGTTTCCTGGCTTCTAGGTGCAAGATGGCCCAGTCCAATGGGTGGGGTGTCATGGTGTCCCATCGCTCCGGGGAGACCGAAGACACTTTCATTGCCGACCTGGTGGTGGGGCTCTGCACTGGGCAGGTAAGGAGCTCCCGGGAGTGAAAGCTGGTTCTTATTTCTTCCCTCTGAACTCACTCCCCGAGCACAGACTTGGGGGGAAGAGGGTGGTGAATGGGGGTCCTGGAAGCCCCATTTTCGTGTGTGTGTGTGTGTGTGTGTGTGTGTGTGTGTGTGTGTGTAGGTCCCTTTTATCCCGTTCTTCCGAGGGTCAGAGATCCTCAAGAAATGATTTTCTTGCCATAACACCCTCCCCTTGTCCACAATGTCTCCCAAGACTCGATGCCCACTGTAAGCAAGCATGACCTGTGTTTTCTCCTCCCAGATCAAGACTGGTGCTCCCTGCCGATCTGAGCGCTTGGCCAAGTACAACCAGATCCTTAGGTAAAGAGGATGCCTGCCCTGAGTGTGGGTACTGCCCTCCACTAGGAGCTCCAGGCTCTGTGGAGCTTGTGCAGTCAGGGGGCCTGAGCAGGGTTAGACTAGAGCAGAGGTGGGTGCGGAACCCAAGGTGCCTGGTAGCATTGCCCTAAAACAGGCCCTGGTCGGTACAATGCTGCCATCTGCTGGTGGAAGAGGGAACATGCTCCCCGTTGCACATGGGAAATTATAAAAGCCTTAATGATTTTACAACTCACCTCTACCTCAACCCTGGAAGATTTTAAGCACAAAAGAAACAGTGAGCAGTAAAATATATGCCCTTTCCTCATCACCCAGACTCGCCAGCTGTCATTGTTCCTCCATGCTTGTCTCCACCCTGCTTGTGACTTTAATGCAAATTCCAAATAACTTAGAATTTCATGTACTTTAGTGTGTGTCTTTTTCAGATCAGGGTGTTTTTTTTTAGATAACCATCTATCGTTATAGTGCCCCAAATTAGTAAAAAGTCTGTAACATCAGCACTGTTTTCATCTGCTCAGTCTCCGTGTTCACACTAAGTTCCCTTACTTCCCCATGCTGCTTGCTTGTTAGGGAAACTGGATTTGCCTTTCATTTTTAAAGACATAACAATTGAAACATTGAGGGGATGGAGAGGAGGCGATGGGGCTGCAGATGGATGACAGTCTGCCGAGTGGGTTGGGCGGAAGGGAACTGAATGTTCTATTTTCACATCTCAGAGACACTCAGTTTTAGAGGATTTGAGAATAAGTTGTCTCGACTTCTCTGCTGAGAAAACATACTGAGTTGAGATTTGACTTCTGTTTCTCCGTCCCCCTCTGTCCATCTGCTTCCCAAGAATCGAGGAGGAGCTGGGCAGCAAGGCCAAGTTTGCCGGCAGGAACTTCAGAAACCCCCTGGCCAAGTAAGCTCTGGGCGGGCAGCCCGAGCCCCCGGTCACCACTCGGCTGATCAGACGTCTGCTCCTGACATCTGCACGGGCAGCCCAGGGCCCCCGCCCAGACCTGTGGGGCCTCTGCCTCTCCCCTCCCTGTGGTGTTCGCACTGCTTCTTAGAGCTGCCACAAAGCCAAGCCTGACATGGAACCCTGGTGGAAACCCTAGCCCTGTAGTCATGTGACTGGTCCAAATCATTGTTCTTCTCACCTCGCTTCTCAAGTGTCAGCCAAATACATCTGCATTGTAATCTCCGAGGTGTCCACAGGCGAAATCCCCAGTGGTTTTGTGTGCAAAATAAAGTCCTCGTGTCCTTAGGAATACTCGGGGTGTGTGTGTATGTCTGTGAGTCTCTGTTCTTGCGCCGTGAGTGTTCACAGGGCATTGCCATAGGCCTGCAAGAGTTGAAGGCTGTTTTGTGGGGGGAAAGGACGAGTTTATTGACATCTGCCCCTTGAAGTTCAGTGTTTGATGTTTCCTCCCCTGATATAACTTGATCAACCTATTGAGTTGGTTTTAATATTTATTTGGGACAAGGAGGCCCCTGGTGGACATTCTTATTCATTGCTTACCTCAGGATTTAACCCACAAAGCACCGGTACGTGAGGATATCTCTATTAAGAGATTTATCACAAGGAATTGGGCTGAGCAAACCCATAGAGCAATCCATCAGAAGGGAGGTGACCCTCTGGCACAAGTGAAGTGCCAGTTCACAGATGGAATTTCTCCTTGAGAGGAGGGGGCGGAGCCTGAAGCCCGGATGAAGACCTATCTGATGTGTCAGGCTTGTGCACATCACCCTGGTGATTCCTTACTTAAAGGCAGCTGATTCATGGCTGCATTATGTCTGGGAAGTAGCTTTACAATAACACCTAGATTAGAACCTGCATAACTACTCCGGTTAAGGTGGCACGTACAGCCACCACAGTCCAGCCCTTGTTAGTGCTGCTCCCGTGCACATCTTAAATCATCTCCAAACTGACCGCACACAGCCCTGCTTCCACCACTCCTGACAGTCTTACAGGTGTGTTTATCCAACTCAAAAGCGGCAAATAGGCTTGAGTAGTTTTTGTTTTTTATTGATTTTTCACAAGAAGAGAGAGGGATAGAGAGTTAGAAACATTGATGAGAGAGAATCATCAATCAGCTGCCTGTTGCACACCCCCTACTGGGGATATGCCCACAACCAAGGTATTGTACATGCCTTTGACCGGAATCGAACCCAGGACCTTCCAGTCCGCAGGCCGATGCTCTATCCACTGAGCCAAACCAGTTTCATCAGGCTTGAGTGGTTTTAAGTTTGCTGTAATAATTTGATGCTGGTTTCTGAAACAGTGACTGGCAAATAGCATTTATCATATCACACAGGTTCAAGGACAAGTGTAGGTAGGAACCCTTTCTGGTATGCTCCTCTGGAAGAAGGCCGCAGCTGGGGCTGATGGTAAGGCCTGGGTAAGCACTGGTGACCGACGACATCTGACAGCAGAAATGAAGCTGGTCCCCCCATTGATTGTCGGCAGAAGAATTGCTGACCAGGGGACCTGATCCTGGACCAAGTCCGAAGCCGGACAGACCCGCGGACCCACTTTCCAGGAAGCCATGTGTGGGCTCTATGGTGGCCTGGGGTGTTGGCATGTCTGTGGACCACATGAGTTTACAGGAACTTCGTTTTGAAATAAAATCTTCGTGAGCACATGTTTGCTGTTTCTGGACTTGCTTTTTCTGACCTGTTTGGCTCAATGGATAGAGCGTCGGCTTGGGGACTGAAGGGTCCTGGGTTCGATTCCGGTCAAGGGCATGTACCTTGGTTGCGGGCATATCCCCAGTAGGGGGTGTGCAAGAGGCAGCTGATCGATGACTCTCTCATCGATGTTTCTAACTCTGTATCTCTCTCCCTTCCTCTCTGTAAAAAATCAATAAAATGTATTTTTTAAAAAATTGGCTTTTAAACCAAAAGATAGATATAGAGACAGTAAAGCAACAAGCAGACTGTCAAATTACAGCAGGGAGGTTGGGGAGATCTGGGGGAGATAAGAGATCGACCGAAGGGCTTGTATACATGCATATAAGTACAACCAATGGGCACAAAACTCTGGGGAGGGAGGGTATGTATGGGAAGGGTGGGGGGGCAAGGGTATATGTGCAAAAATAATTAATAAAAAAATATATTAAAAAGAAAATTGATTTATTGTTCCACTTATCCATGACCAGGCATTGAGCCGCAACCTGGATGTCTGGGGACAACACTAACCAGCTGATGCCGGGCCAGGGCAGATACACATGCTTTGAGGGAAATAAAATGACATAGAATCCTGGCTGGTGCTCAGTGGTTAGAGCATTGGCCCATGCACCACAGGGACAGGTTAGATCTTGGCCCCCGTCAGGGTGCATGCTGCGGGAAGCAGCCATGCGTCTTACATCCATGTTTCTCCCTCCCTCTCCCTCCTTACTTCCCTCTTCCTCTCTTCTTTCTCCTCTCCTCTCCTCTCCCCTTCCCCCTACTTTCTGCTCTCTAAAAATCAACGGAGAAAATATCCTCAGGTGGGGATTAACCAAGAAAAAAGCAAGCCCCGCCATAATTGGGTCACAGGTCACAGGTGGTTAGAGCAGCGGTCACCAACCTTTCGGACCTCACGGACCAGCAGTGGTCCACGGGCGACCCTGGTTAGAACATCTTCCCGGTGCACCATGGCTGCGGGTTTGATCCAGGCAGGGCACATACAAGAACCAACCAATGAATGTATAAATAAGTGGAACAACAAATGGGTGCTTCTTCCCCTCCCTCTCTCAAATCCATCAAGTTTTTAGGAAGTGGAAAGTTTAAAAAATGTGTATCTCATGTCCTCCAACTTCCAAATGACTACATCTCCGCCATTTGAGCAAACCCCGATGGGCACTGCGGCAGTGTGGGTCTAACAGCCTGCCCTGCCCTCACCCGGGAGGCTCCGGAGCCCCTGTGCCCAGAACAAGGAGCGCAGCCTCAGGGGGTACAGAGAAACCAAGTTCCCCAGCTGCTCCCGGGGCCAGGCTTCCCGGAAACACCCAGCTCGGAGCTTTTAAATGAGAGCAGCTGAGGCCGCGAGCTGGGCCATGTTGTGGGGAGGAGGCTGGGCTGTGGCCTGCTTCCTGGCGAGTCCCATGCTGAGGCCCGTGGAAACAGCCAAGTCCGCTCTCCTGTAAGCAGTGGGAATGCCAACAACTCCCCCCGGTGCCCCTCACCAGCAGTGGGAATGCCAACATCTCCCCCTCTGCCCCTCACCAGCAGTGGGAATGCCAACATCTCCCCCTCTGCCCCTCACCAGCAGTGGGAATGCCAACATCTCCCCCGGTGCCCCTCACCAGCAGCTCGGTGCAGGCAGCGTACGGCTGAGCCCAGTGGAGCCCGGCTCTGAACTTCGTCTGCCCACCTGTGAGATGGGGCTAATGGATGGCACAACCCAGGTTATGACAGAGTGAGTACCGTGAATGAGCACGTGAATCCACCAACCAGGTGCTGACACACGTACGAGGTACAGGGACCCGGGAGCCGGGGGGCGGGGGGTGGGGCCTTCTGAGCATGTCGAGTACCCGTGGTCGCGATGAAACAGGAAAGGGGGCCGGTGTGGAGTGGAGTGTTCGCAGCAACCTGGGGGAAGGGCCAGGACCCACTGGCCCACGTGTCTAACAGCCGCGGAGTGTCGTTTACATGTAATAGCAGGCACCGTTTAGTGCGGCGTGGTGTGTTCTCATAGTCACGACAGCATTTCCAGCCTGGAGCCCCTTCCCCGTCAATCTCCACCCCCAGTCCCAGAGTTTTTCAAAAAGTCTAATTGTCAAAATCTAAAACACAGATTTCCTGTAATCATTACCGCTTCTGGGCTGTAACGGATTGGAAGGTTGTTGACACGGGGCTTGCATTCCCAGGAGGAACAGGAGGCTGTTCACGGGGCCGCTGTGGTCCCGCCCGCTGCTTCCTTCCACGTGTGGCCCGTTCTCAGCTTTCGAACCTGCAGCTCGGCCCACGGTCTCCCCTGCAAACAACCTGCCTGCTCTTCTCCTTTCTATAACGTCCTCTACCCCAGAGGCTCCGAGAGTTCAGGCCTCCAGGCTTCTCTGTCTGGGCAGCCAGGGCTCCCCAGACGCAGCCCTGAGCTCGCGGCTCAGCTAAGACCCAGCACTGGGGCAGGCAGGTGCCACCTTCCGCTAATCACGCCCCTCGGTTCTTGATGGGAGGCCATCTGGCCAGCGGCACCCCTGCATCCTTCTGCCAAGTGTGAGGGCTTGGTAATCAGGCTGCTCCTGTCCCTGGAGACCAGCAGTGCTTGCAGACTCATTTGCATACGTGACCTAAGCCGGTAATTAAACCCGGGTGCCCCAGGGGTGAGAAGTAAGCACATTAATTCAGGAGCAATTAAAACCCTCCAACATCACCCTCACACAGTCTCCTCTTCCGAGGCTGGCTCTGCCGCTGACAGTCACCTCCCAGCCACCTCTTCTAGCGACCAGACTGCGGCCATGTCTGCACACGTTTTGGGGGGCATGCGTGGGCCTCGGTGGGGGCAGCTTCCCTGGCTCGGACTTCTCCAGGGCCCCTGACCGACCCTACTGTGAAGTTACCATGCAACAAGGTGCCCCAGTCCTTTTGTTTTTAATTGTGGCAACACACACAAAGCGAAATTTGCCCTGTTAACCATTTTCAATTCTACTAGCAGTAAGTACATCCAAAGTATGGTATAATCAACACGTGAAGTATTTGCAGAACTTTATTATCCCAAACAGAAACTCGACACACAGTTAGGCAGTAGCTCCCCATTTCCTGCTTCCCCTTCCCCAACCTCTTGTAACTTCTATTCTTTTTTCTGTGAATGTGCCCAGTGTAGGTATCTATCTATATAAAAGCCTAAGCAACTGTCTCAACCAAACAGGCTGCGTGGGGTGACCAAACAACCAAGCAGCAGGCTGTGTGGGGCCACCAGGCTGGTGGAGGGTGGGGG